AGGGTTACCCTACCACCCGGGACAACTTACCTATGCTTGGTAACCGCATGCATTGTTATCAATGTTCAAAGGGTCTGGAAACAAGTAAAAAGTTGTCCCGGGTAGGCGAGTTATCCCCAGCAGAGCATTTACAAGGCAGCTAGGGTTACCCTGGCGCTAGGGTAACCCTAGCACTCAGTTAAGGTTACCGTAGTGCTAGGGTAACCCTAGCTGCCTCGTAAACACGTCGATGAAAAAAAGAAATGTGGGAGCGTTAGGGTAACCCTCCTGCCAGGCTAACCCTAGCACTAGGGTTACCCTACCTGCTTGTAAACAGGGCCTAGGGAGTTTCTTGATGAATAGTACTGCTGTAGCTCTCACTGTATTGAAGTTCATAGTCAGTCTCCGACACATTTAAAAGTGTGGGTAATTTTCTTTGCATTAAAAATGATTGTCTAGTTAACTGAGACAAACATGAATACAACTGATTTTCAAAACTCGTTACTGACACGAGATCATTAGCAGAATTGATTCCTTGTTTGTTATTGTAAATCAAAGAGCATAAACTCATTGCAACACATTGTGGTCCTGAATTTTGTCCAAATAATCAATTCATTAGCTTGGCTATATGATGCCATTATTGTTTCGCTAGGGTCAATGTACATTGGAGTAGGGGCAGGATTTTTCTCAACCTCTGAACTCAGTCGAAATTTACAATAGTTTGACCAATTGATGAGTGTGTCTGACTCTTATAAAGACACAAGGGTCTATTACAAGAAAACATTGATAAATATCACCTTGCTCTATACTTCAATTTCATTATCCTCTGATATACCCTCACTGAACAATTCAACAGGTACTTCTTATCATGTTTTGTAACTTTATTCAATCTTACCCTAGCTCTTCGTATTAAGCTTAAAAATATTCTTTGTCATCCTTCTAACCTTCACATAATGATGTAAATTCCTTCAGGTTTCTGCCCTTTCTTCTGAGACGTTTCATAGTAGCTTCTGGTATTCTACTGGGTTCTCGATCACGTCTAAATAGACGGTTGTGTTTAGATGTAAACATAATATGACATAACTCGTTTGATATAACAGGTTTCGCTTGATATTCCTCGATTAAAGGTTCACTCGTAAAGGATCGCTCGTGAATTGATCTCCAGTAAAGTTCGCGGAACGACCCGTTCCCAAACCGCTCCACAAGTTTTAGTGCGGTTCTACTGCGAACGTTGTGTGACTTTGTATAGACATTGGGCGCGTAATAGCCATGGAATTTCTTTCGGGTACATCAAGCAAGGAACTGTCCACAAGGGCTTTAACCATGCACTCTATGGTTCATTCTACGCATGCCCACTTTGTGACGGAACGCAAAAAAAAAAAACAAACAAACACACAGCCGAATTTACACCTCGGGCGTTTATGGGCGCCGTTTGTAAATTTATTATTTATTTCGCTTTTCGTCGTTTTTTACGTGATATGTTCCTTTATTTATGATAACTTTATTATATCCATTGGTTATTTAATGAAACCAATCTTGCGTTATTTGGTTATTTGATATAACCAATCTTGCCTTATTTGGTTATTTGATAAAACCAATCTTGCGTTACGTGGTTATTTGATATAGCCAATGTTGCGTTATTTGGTTATTTGATAAAACCAATCTTGCGTTACGTGGTTATTTGATATAACCAGCATTACACTGGAAGCAAAGACTTCAGCCTGGGTGAATAAGAAAGGATAGACAACACTTCCCTATGTAAGACGGCCAAAACGGTCGACGTAAGAACAAAAGATCCGAGGGAAGATTTACAAGTTTAATGCACAGCAAATAAATGCAACGGTACAATAAAAAAACGGGAACGAGTGACACTAAACAATAAATAAGAAAACAAAGTTCCAATGAGCCAAATGATGTAGCAAGATTAAAATGACTTAGGAAAAAGTACTTAACAGTAAAAGATAACCTACAGACAGAAATAATTCAGTAAAGAAAGGAAACAAACAAAGTACTTGAAAACAGGAAATTGTGTGACAGAAACTATCAAAAATAGTGATTGCTACACCAGGCATGAATTCAACAAAGATTACAAGCTAGGCTTAATATTACAACTTGAGCTAATACAGTATAAAACAGTGAAAGGAGAAAATGAAATTACTAGTGTAATGAACCCATAATTTGGTTCTGAAAACACAGGAATCATAGCAACAATGAATTGGAAGCAGGTAAGCAAAATATTACAGCTGCTAAACGAAAACAATTGAAGTTCATATAGCAGAGAAAATAAATAAGATACAGTAGTAAGATAAAAAGAGTATGTGGCTAAACTAAGCAAATTCTAACCCGAAAATCACTACAAAAATACAATGGAAACAACTACATGCTAAGCTTAGGGCTCAAACAAACATAAAATACTGAAACATACCAAAAGCTAGTATAGCTTAGAATCCGCTTTAAAGACACTCTCAGGAAGGCAACAAATCAACTGAACTCACCGAGCAAACAGTTGTAACTTATAGTAAAATACAGGAAAAGGTAAAAATAACTTAAAACCAAATTTGGGCTAGGAGCGATTAATTAAACAGGAATTACATAAGGGAAATCGGCAATTAAACAGGAATTACATAAGGGAAATCGGCAATTAAACAGGAATTACATAAGGGAAATCGGCA